AATTATCTTCCATAACAAAGAATTAGTATGAAGTTTTCATTAATTGGATTTCAATGATTTTTTAAAGTTGTTTCATTGTCACCTGGCTTGTGAATCAGGAGGGGAGGTGGTAATAAGTGCTCAACCTATTTCAGAATGCTTAATAGTGACAAGATGTCATCAAGCATCTGAATTTAGGGTTTTGAAATTCAGAATTCACAAAAAAAGTTTTATGGACACTGAAAAAGGTACTGCCAAAAACTTGCATTTGGCTACCTGATTAAATGTTCCACTACGCCAGAGGAGTTAAGTTGTAGATCATGATCTTCATCCTGGAGCTTTAGGCAATATTTCAGATATCCTTGGCCCTAGCTATTGAGTGTCTTGAAGATACAGACTGAGACCTTGAACTTGGATTTGTTCATGGAAGCTTGTGTTCCTGAGGAGGCTTGCTACAGCATTCAGTGCTAGCTGGAGTTTCCTATTGGTTGATAGCTTCATGTCTAGGTATATTGCATTGTTGTGGTGCAGCCAAGAGGTGATGATGGCATGAATATCTTAGGCCAGGTCATCGTTTGCCAGGATGGGATGGAGTCTCTTAGCTAAAACAGAGATGGTAGAAAGCATTTTTCACAGATGCTGCTATGTGAGAGCTTAGCGTCATTGAGGAATCCTGGAGCACTCCAAATGTATACACTGAATTTACCAGTTGTGGGGGTGTGCCTTCAACCAAAGGACACTGTGCTGCGAACTCTTCAAAATGCTTTCCTCTGCTCACCAGCATCACATCTGCCTTGCTCCGTTTCAGCTTCTTGGTAGTGGTGGTGTGGTTGTGGGGGGAGAAGGAAAGGTAGAGCTATGTGTTATCTGCATATTGCTGGCACTGGGGTCCTTGTAGTCTGACCAGATTATTTTGTGGCTGCATGTGTATGTTGAATAGGACCAGAGAGAGAACTGAATCTTATGGGACTCCACAAGTGAGGGATCTAATTATAGAGATGCAGTTTCTTCTCACTGTTTTTTGGGTGCATGCCTCCAGGAAGGGCTCAGACCATGTTAGCACATCCCCCTGGATCCCTGCCACCTCTCTCAGTGTTGCATATTGCAGAGAGGTCTATGAGGATGAGCCTGGATGTCTGTCCTTTATCCACTGACTGTAAGAGATCAGCCAGCAGTGCCACTAAATAAGTTTCAGTTCCATGTCCTGACCAGAATGTAGAATGTGCTGAGTCTAGGATATGAGCTTCAATGAGAAGAGCTGGAAGTTGGCCTTTGGCTAGCTTCTCTATGAACTTGTTTGGGAATGGTAGGTTTGACACTGGGTGGTAGTTGGCTAGAACTGACAAGTGACTGGTCACTGAAGACTGAAATCCCTGGGGTAGACAAAGCCTTGCAATGGTCATTTTTGAAAGTCTTCATTAAAGAGATGCTAAAGTCCCATTTTAATTACCTGTGTACTTTTGTTTGACTTAAGAGATAATGACTTATCAAAAACTTCTGCCCACCTTGAATTGCTTACAGATTTAGGGCCAAATTCTTCTCTTGGGCCTTGTCAAATTTTGCTGCCACTAGCATCATCTAACTTTGCTCTTAGAACATGACCTACCATGCTTAAAATGCTGATAGCAATCAGCAGGCCATCTACACTGGGGTGGAGATGAACCAGTGCTAGCAACAGTAGGAGATTTTTTCCAAACATCCCAGATGACAAAGCTTTACTTACATAGAGCTGCATCTGTATAAATGAGAAGTACACCCTTAATGTTTCCATCAGTGGTTGTGAAGAAACATGAACCCCCCGTTTCATGTTTTGGCAATTAAAAAAACAAATCAGATTTATCAGGGGGAGTACAACTACAAACTACCCCTTATTTGGCCTGAATTGTAAGGTTACAATCCTTTACACTGTATGCTGCTTGAGGTACGTATCATGTATTCCTTTGCAGCATTTTTGGCACCACACATCCAGTTGATGTGTGGTGCCAAACAACTAACAATTAATTTATAATAGTTATATTCATTCTGATGTTTAATGAACTCACCAGGCACTTAATAAAAGAGCTCCATAGTGTACAGGCCCTTTCCTTGTTCTTACCAAGCTTTGTATATTTAATTAACCTTGACCAAATACAAGTAGAAACATTTTGGTGGATCAACAAAAAGATGATCAGTAAAGATGATACTGAGCCATGTGAGGGAAGGAAAAAAAGAATGCTGCTATAATTATTATTTAACATTTATATTAGAGTGGTGCCTAGAGGCCCCTGCCTGGTTATAGTCCCATTGTGCTCAGTGTTGTATGGACATGTGGCAAAAGACAGTCGCTGCCCCCAGCAGTTTTCAGTCTAAAGATGTAACAGGTGAGTAAATAAACAAGCCTGTGGGAGTGGGAGGAGGCACAAGGTAAGAGTAATACAAGAAACTTTTTTCATAGACTTATCTTGCACAATTTGTAATTTTGTAAAGTAGGAATAAAAGGTACATCTGCTCTGATGCAACTTAAGGTGTATTTTTTTGTTTTGTAAGTTGCATGTAGGTGGTACATAAGAACATAAGAATGGCCATACTGGATCAGACCAAAGTTCCATCTAGCCCAGTATCCTGTATTTCAACAGTGGCCAATGCCAGGTGCCCTAGAGGGAATGAACAGAACAGGTAATCATCAAGTGATCCTTTCGCTGTTGCTCATTCTCAGCTTCTGCAAACAGAGGCTAGGGACACCATCCCTGCATATCCTGGCCAATAGCCATTGATGAACCTATCCTCCATGAATTTATCTAGTTCTTTTTTGAACCCTGTTATAGTCTTGGCCTTCACAACATCCTCTGGCAAAGAGTTCCACAAGTTAACTGTGTGTTGTGTGAAGAAATACTTCTTTTTGTTTATTTTAAACCTGCTGCCTATTAATTTCATTTAGTGACTCCTAGTTCTTGTGTTATAAAAAGGAGTAAATAAAACTTCCTTATTTACTTTCTCCACCCTAGTCATGATTTTATAGACCTCAATCATATCCACCCTTAGTCGTCTCTTTTCCAAGCTGAAAAGTCCCAGTCTTATTAATCTCTCCTCATACAGAAGCCGTTCCATACCCCTAATCATTTTAGTTGCCCTTTTCTGAACCTTTTCCAATTCCAATACATCTTTTTTGAGATGGGATAACCACATCTGCACGCAATATTCAAGATGTGGGCGTACCATGAATTTATATAGAGGCAATATGATATTTTCTGTCTTATTATCTATCCCTTTCTTAATGATGCCCAGCATCGCTTTTTTGACTGCTGCTGCACATTGAGTGGATGTTTTTAGGGAATTATCCGCAATGACTCCAAGATCTCTTTCTTGAGTGGTAACATCTAATTCAGACCCCATCATTTTATATATGTATAGTTGGGATTATGTTTTCCAATGTGCATTCCTTTGCATTTATTAACATTGACTTTCATCTGCCATTTTGTTGCCTGGTCACCCAGTTTTGAGAGCTCCTTTTGTAGGGCTTTGCAGTCTGCCTGGGACTTAACTATCTTGAGTTGGTAGGATGATGCAACCATAATTTCAACACAGTTATGGTTGCCAAATTTATGGCTTGACAAGATCGTTACCTTTAACACACTCCCACTGGCTGAGTTTTACTTGTTTACTTCTTTAGTTTCTGTGGCAGAGAAAGAAGTGACTGCAATTCTTGGCTTGGTATAAAGCATACCCAAATAATGATCAGTTATTTTCAGAGTGTATATAAATTTTAAAAAACAATGAAAACTGGCAAGCTTACAAGTCCTGGAGGGAGTAAGAATTGATTGTCAGTTAAAGTTGATTTCTGCAAATCCTATTTATCCTAAACTACACCAGACTCCCCAACCCCCACACCGCATACAAATGGAATGGATGACAATTTGATAGTGCTTGGTTGTATTCACAGAGCAGTGTTCATCAGTGATGCAGAATGTTACTTCACAGGGAGAGAAGAAAACAAAGAAAAGCAGTCACAATGTGGTGGTGTTCCGTGGCAAAAATGGACCAGTCCTGCAAACCCACATTTGAGTTTATGTTTATAGGAACAGGGGCTGCATACTTTGTAATTCAGAGAAGACCAAAGTAGTTTAGAAAGATATTTATTTTCTGGTTTTTAAGATGATATTGCAAATACTACGAACAACAAGTAGTACAACAATTAAAAGTAAAAATGATTTAAAATGTGTAGCTGTCCTTATTAAAAAAAATTATGATAATAGATTCCAATCTTGCTTTCATAGTCCAAAAACCAACATAACACTATAAACTGTAGTGTTTTAGACCATTAGGATAGAATGCTATTGAATTATTAAGGGTATTAGAGTGTGCTTAATTAAATGGAGACAATGTAGCTAAAACTTTTGACCCTCTTCACCCATGTGAAAATAAACTATGCTGCAAAAATGTGCAATTCAGATATGTGGCAAATACTGGAACAGTCCTGGGGGATGGTATGAAAACTCCTAATTTGCTGACATGCATTTCTGATCCTGTCTGATTCTAAGTACAATGGTATAGGTCTGATCCAAAGCCCGTTACTTTTCATTTACTTCAAAGACTTCTGAATCAGCCCCTACAGGACCCAACTTGATGGGTCCATAAGTTGACAATGCATCAAGTGACATTGATTTAATCCATGTGTATTAATGCATACCTATACAAATAGGAAAGACTGCATCATAAATGTAGAAATATTATATTTCTGAATTCTAAAGAACCTATCATTGATAGTGGAAGATATAATATTACACGTATATTTTCTGTCTTATCTATCAAATTTATTTGCCCATCTATCCTAAATATGTTGGGTCAGATCCCTGAGTCCCACTAACGTGTTTTAATTTTGCCAGTGGCAGATCTAATAGCATTCCTAATTGAGCTGGTCAGGATTCCTTGGGTGTGGTCAAGTTCACCACTGGTTTAAAGCTAGAGTGACTGGTTCTACAGCAAGGGTTTTCCAACCTCCTTGACATAGGAGTGTTTTGGGAATGAGAGATTCATTGTGGGTGTGGCTGGAGCATATTTGTGGAAGGTGTGGTGAGAATGATCAGTGTGTACTGAGTCAGAGAGCTCAGAGTTACCTGCTTCTATGAAGAACACAGCTTTGTAGGGAGTTGTTAACTCTCTCTCATATTGCAAGTAAGTTGATGGTGATTTTGTGGACCTGTGGGGGGTTACTCTGTGAATTGCTCAGAGTGGGTTTTATGGAGTGGATGAAGTGATGCAGATATGCATGTGTTGCTCAGTGGTGAGTGGTGCTGCCAGCACTTTAGCGATAGCAGAAACTCTGCTTCTGCAGGATCTGGAGGACTTTGAGATGATGTGATGGAGCAGGGAGTGGGGAGGATTGACCTGGGGATGTTGCATGGGAGTTTTGCAGGTACTGTCTGCATGGTGATGGGATATCAGGGTGTGACTTCACTTGAGGGATGATACCTGAGCATGTAACCTGAGCCCAGGAGGGGAATGGGGCCAGGTGACACCTTCTGCACGGGGAAACTGGACAAAGGCTGGAGGAGGAGCCGGGGGTGTGGCTGGAGGGGGTTTCAGTTTGGAGCTGGCTGGGGAAATGGAGGAGACCCGGGGCCGGGGTCCAAGCTCCCTGCCCCCCAATATGGACCTGACTGAGGGGGTCCCATTGTCTGTACCTGCAAGACCTGTTTTGGACTGTGATCCTGTCATCTAAATAAACCTTCTGTTTTACTGGCTGGCTGAGAGTCATGGTGAATTGCAGGAAGCGGGGGGTGTGGGGCCTTGTCTCCCCCACGCTTCCTGACAGTGCCTATAGGGCAGCAGTTGTCAACAAATCTCACTGGTGTCCTCCAAGCCCTCTTGCAGCCCTGGCTTGCTATAATATATATTTGTGAATGTGGGAGCTCTGTAAAATTGGACCAGATACAGCTGTGGGAGGACTATTTATTAATTCTTAGATAAATGGCCTTAAAGAAGGCCAGAAGGGAGCATTATGATCATCCAGTCTGACCTTCAGCATAACAACCTCATGTCACCCAGTAATTTCTGCATCAAACCCGTAACTTCTGTTTGAGCTATAGCATGTCTTTTAGAAAGACGTCCAGTCTTGATCTAAAGACTTCAAATGATGAAGAAGTCACCACATCCCTAGGTAAATTGTTCCTATAGTTAATAAGAGAAATTTATTAGTGCAGTTGTATGACAGGGTTGCTTGTGAAGGTAGGAGGCAGGGCTCAACAGCCTTGGGGATCATTTCAGGTTTATGTCTTGTGTTCATAAAGCTCATGCTTCAGGGTTTCAGCAGGCCACTGTCAGAGGTCAGGAAGGGATTCTCCCCCAAGGTATTCTGGGAGGTTTTTTTTAATCCCCTTCCACAGCTGGAGATGGGGAAATTGTGTGGGGTGGGCCAGGGCTTTGAGGTAGCACTGAACATTCTATCTCTCAGCTGCTTGACTGGCTGGTTATTGCTCACAGTCTCAGGGTCTAACTGATTGTCATATGTGGGGTCAGGGAGGAATTTCTCCCAGGTAAGATTGGCAGTGACTTTGTGGGTCAGGGTGGTTCACCTTCCTCTGCAGCATATGAATGTGGGTCACTTGCCAGGATTATCTGGATATTTTTCACTTAATCATTTCCCTGCCATTGCAGGGGCCTCAAGCACTGGTGCATCTCAAACCCTCCTGTTTTCTGCCTGTGCCATATAACAGTCTAGTCTCCTGTGGGCTCTAATACTTTATTTCGTTGGGTTTCATGTGTAGCTGTTGGGTGGTGGTGGCGCCCGGTGATATACAAGAGGCCAGACTAGACAATCTAATAGTTCCTTGTGATAGGGTATACAGACCCCACACTAGACAAGAGGGGGTTAAGGAGCTGCTCAGAACCCAGTTGACTTTGCCCGACTACACCTGCAAAGCCTGCACTGGCTTGAGGAAGAACTTAAAAAGGGGAGCAGAGTAGGGTCAGTGGAAGACAGATTGTGGAGGTGAGTTGATCTACATGCTAAACTCCTGGGAAGGAGCCCTGCAGGAGTTCTTGCTGCCTGAGGCCTGCCTGTATTGGTGTGACTAAAGCCTACAAAGAAGGTGCCTGTGACTCTCTGAAGGTCAGAGACTTTATCTTTATGTTCAGTTCTTTACTTTACTCTGTGGGAAGAAAGCGGGCTTGTAGGAAGTGATCCAGGGAGGCAGCCACATAGTACCTGAGGGTGCAGGACTTAGCTACCTACCACTGGGCTCTGCAGCCGAGCTCAGTCGAGAGGGTGGGCCTGGGCTCTCCTACCACTCCCTGAAGAGGGACAACTATAAAAGCCTATCCCTCAGCAGAAAACCTAGTTGATGGAAATTCCTGAAGATACAGGAATCTGGACCATGAGACCCCAACCTAAGTGGGAAGCTCTGAATCCCTCATTTGATCCTGAAGACCTCCCTGTTCTTGGACTTCTTATATGTATCCTAAAAGGCGTGGACTTGAAACCATGACCAAGCTGAAGGTCTGAGGCATTGAACAGATAGACCACAAGTCTACAAAATCACCATCAACTTACTTGCAATATGAGAGAGATCAACTGAGTCAGCAACTCCCCACAAAGCGGCAGTCTAATTAATGCTGTAAGACAGGGCCCATACCACCTCCCTGTTTTTACATCAAAGGATTGGGTTAGCCCTTTTAGCTACAGCATCACACTTGGAACTCATGTTCAACTCATTGTCTACTATGACCCCTAATTCCTTTTCATTGTCACTGCATTCCAGGATACAGTCCCCTGTTTTGCTTTCCAATCTGTAAAAGGGGGGTGATGATATTGACCTCCTTTGTAAAGCTCTTTGATATCTATCAATAAAAGGCAATATATAAGAACTAGGTATCAGCATTGTTTGTTCTTTGTAACCAGAGATCACCAGCCCCTGAAGTATTATATAAAGTTCCAAGAGCCTCCTCGTGCTGCCAGCCAGGATACCAGCAGCACATACCCCTGCCCCTCCACCAAGGCTTTGGTGCTCTACACTCAGAGGGTATTCAGGTTATTTATTAGAGAGAGAGGTGCTATTTGTGATTAGGGATAATTAGGTCTTTTATGTCAAACCTATTACCTTTCCCAGCAGAGTTCCAGAAATAAACCATACACCCCCACCCTATGGTGGATACTGAATAATAGGCAATGGGGATGGTATTTACTAGGGAGATATGAAACATGCCAAGTTCTCAGTCACTTTCAAGGATACTTCCTTATTTTGGATTAATGTTAAAGAAGCTATTTTCCAGCTCCCTGTTACAGTGACAGGTTTCCTAGTTATGTCAATGAGACATAACATTTCACTCTTCATTTAAAAAAAATCATTTATTCAAATTGTCACAGTTTGAGAACAGTCCTGAAAGACTGAAGACATGGTTCAATGAAAAGTCCTTAAAACATTTTCTTTTCTACTATTAAACAAAAACACAGTAAATTTGATATAACAGAAAACAATCAGTGTCTGCTTCTATACCTCTAGACTAAAGAATATTTAAAAAATATCCATTGTGACTCTTTTAAAGAACTGTTTGATTTTTTTTCCCCATATACAGAATGGCTGAGCTTGAGAACATACAAAACCTTCGTGAAAACTTCAAGAAACAAAATAAATCTTGTTTTATCCTTGGTGCGTCAGGAGCAACTGGCAAAGAGTTGTTAAAAGAAATTTTGAAACAGCAATTGTTTTCTAATGTCACCATCATAGGACGTAGAAAACTGACTTTTGAAGAAGTGGCATATCAAAATGTGGTACGTCATATAACTGGCATATTTGGTATCAGTTTTAACACTGTTTTATATGTTAATGTTTTCATGTTATTTTGTATCCTTATGTTTTAGAATCAACAGGTGGTAGACTTCGAAAAACTGGATGAATATTCTGCAGCATTTCAAGGTCATGATGTTGGATTCTGTTGTCTTGGTACCACAAAAGCAAAAGGAGGAGCAGTAAGCAAAAAAACCCCAACATTGCTTAGTTTTCACTTTGCAGAAGTATTGTACAAATCCCCTTGTTTCATTTTCTTCTTTCAATCAGCGCAGAAACAGTAGAACAGCTAACAACCCTCCCCCAACCCCCCACATTTAGGAAAATTTGGATTTAGTTCTGATTCTAGGTCAAAGCTTTACCACCTGGGCCCATGTTTTGTTTCACTCTTGTGAGTGATATTTGTCTTGTAAAGAAGATTTTTGTACAGAAATTTCTGCCAGGGGCAGGGCTGGAATTAAATGGATAAAAGAAATATAGAATGTGGAAAAGATTCCTTTAACAGAGATACTAAAGAATCTACTTTGAGGACCTTTTAAACATTACACTTCAAGTGGATACTGTCAAGTTAACTGAGCCTAAATGCAGAGCTGAAATTTCAGCATGACAAATTCATCTCTCTGAAACTTTACCTCTGTAATATTTCATTTGTAACTTGTGATGCAGATTTATCCACAATATGCACAGCCTCTGCCAAAACTGATGACTTAGGGTGTGTCTACACTACCTGCCGGATCCAGTGGGGGTCAATTTATCGCGTCTAGTCTAGATGTGATAAATCAACCCCCGAGCACTCTCCAGTCAACTCCTGTACTCCGCCGCCATGAGACGTACAAGCGGAGTCGAAGGGGGAGCGGCAGCAGTCGACTCACCGCAGTGAAGACACCGCGGTGAGTAGGTCTAAGTATGTCGACTTCAGCTACATTATTCATGTAGTTGAAGTTGTATAACTTAGATTGATCCCTCCTCTCCCCCCAGTGTAGATCAGGCCTTAGAGAATAGGTTCTACACTAAGGCCTACACTACACTGGGGGGGAGGGGGAGATCGATCTAAGTTATGCAACTTCAGCTACGTGAATAACATAGCCGAAGTCGATGTACTTAAATCTACTTACTGTGGTGTCTTCACTGCAGTAGGTCCCCTGAGCACTGCGTCAGCAGTCGGAGTCGACAGGGGAGCAAGTTTCAGCGCTGTAAAGTGCCAGTGTAGATAGTGCACCAGTGCTGAAAGCTGTGCTCCCAGTGCTGGTAGCTATTCCCCTCGTGGAGATGGGTTTTTTATAGCACTGGGAGAGCAGCACTTTAACATTGCTAGTGAAGACATGCCCTTAGTCATCAACATCATTGTGGTAAGGTGAAGCAAGTAGATTTTATGGGTAGGCGAGGCTGAATTAGTCAATAGATAACATGTTCATAATGCCACCCTGGCTCATCCTCTTCTGACTTCAAAGAAGAAATGTTCATGACCCAATATACAAACAAATGGGCCATCAGAATGTACCAGGCTTTCCAATTGTTGAACATGGAATACATCATTCAGCAGTTAGTTAACTGTGTTGCCCTCGATATACTGTAATTAGAAGTTTATTTTTTTGCTGTGGCTGTTTCATTCTGCCTGGCTGCAGACTCAACAAGAATGCAATATGTTATTGTATGGAGCAGGGGAGGCAAAAGAAAGATGTAGAAACTTTATTATTACCATTTGGTTTTAAACGGAAGATTAGAAAGTAGAGGATCCAGTAGAAATCTTCATGGAGATCCTAAATCTATGGAGCTTTTTGTGCCAAAGATTTGATCATATTTAAAGTGTATCTTAAGTCTTTGAGAATTGATAGCCAGTTAAATGCAACATTAAAGACAGCAGGCATTTTTGGCTGTTGAGGTTTTGCTCTCAACTAAAATGCCACATGTTGGAGGTGGAGGGAGGAAAAGAGAAAACCCATCTGAATTTAGCAGCTTAGAAAAACGAATGTTTATAATCAGTTTGAGAGCTCAGTGGATTTGTGAAATCATTTGGGATTAACAGGCTATTGATTGCTAATAAAACAATATTTAGCTTTGTCCAGGGAACAGCAGTGGAAAAAACGTGTGGGCACCTTGTCAAACAGGACCCATTGAGGAGAGATGATGGGTTAAGTGTGGGGGTCTGAGTGGCAGCGTGGGTGCCAGTTCTTCAAGGAGAACTTGTCAGTTGTTAGTAAGGCTAGTGAAAGGAAGGACGCCAGCGTCTGATGGCTGGGGTAGTATTGATGCAAGTTAGCTGACTAATCAGATTGAAAAAGTCCCATGGTATTTATGTCACTTTAATTTTCATCAAACAATTGGAGACGACAGCACTCTATTAAGGAGAAGTTGATCCAGAACTAAAGCTAAATAAATTAGGGTCTCAGTTTAATCAAATTATCCCTTTACTGGCCTTGGATTAACTGAGAGAGACAGCGTCGGTCTAGGGACTTTTGATTGGCTAATTTTTTTTTATTTTTTTTAGAAGCTGATACAAAGAATGAGAGATTTAACGCAGACGGCTACTACTCAAAATACTCCAAACAAGCACTTAAAAAAAAAGTTAGAATTAATATTTATCAGGAGCATTTGCAGTTTTTTATTGAGGGAAGCTTCTATTTTTTATTAGTTTTGTAAGGCAAAAATCTCCATTTAGTCTGAAGGGCTGAGGTTTTGTCACATTTACAAAACAAGACACATAACTCTGAAAGCATACCCAGAAATCTAAGAACTATCCTAATGCTACTATGTGACCTTCTGAGGAAGTTTTCTCCAAGATGGCGAATGACTTATAGATGCCTTGTTTATCTGCTTTTAAAATCTTCTGATTGAACAAAGATAAATTTTAGGAATTTACTTAACTGTGGGTTAAATAACTTGAATATTTGGCTACTTTTTGTTTTCTATGTGCTTTTAAATTCTACATTGGGGATAGACAGAACCAACCTGTGCTTGCAGGAGTAGATCCTATGGTGTTACTTCAGTAGGAATTTAGGGCACTCCATATTTCTCAGGATGCCCTCAGGATCTTTCAAGATTGGGCCGTTAATGAAGGAATCTGGTGTCTTCCAAAGTGTGCTTTACAAAGATTCTGTTCAACTGCAGCGATAAAACAACCAACCTTTGAATTACTGATTTAAATAGGACTGGAAGGGAGCGCCTGAGCCATCAAATTCAGACCCCTGCTATCGTGGGCAACCCTTTGATAATAAATGTATTAAGAGCAATCTTAAAACTACCTACGTTGTTTGCCTCCCCCCCGCCACCTGTTGGGAGGATGTTCCAGAATCTCATTCTTCTAATGGTTAGAAACCATTTACCCATCCTTAGCTTAGTTAAGTATGAAATGATTTTCTAAAATGAAGTGCCATGGAATTTCCCTTCAGTCTTTGTTTCAAAAATGAAAGAGATTTTGAAGAAAACTGAGAGTCACTGAATTTGGTCCCACATAGTTTTGCTTTCCCCCACCCCACACACTTTCCCTCTTTTGTGGATTCTTCTGACCTGGCTTTAATCCAAATAACTTTTTATCCTAGGATGGACTTGTTCGTGTTGATCGAGATTATGTTTGCATGTCAGCAGAGTTGGCAAAAGCTGGTGGTTGTAAACACTTCCTCTTGGTATCTAGCAGTGGAGCTGATAAGCACAGCATTTTTTTTATTTTAAAAATCAAGGTTGGTCTAAATCTTATAATAATCTGGAGAAATTTCTGTATGGTTTAAGTGTGTAAAGTCAAAATTTCCCAGTGAATTGTTTAAGCAGTTATCCAAAGCGGGGGGTGGGGGGACAACACGTTAACCAGGAGTAAAACTAAGCAAAGAAAAATTGGAGAAGATTCTTAGACAGCTCCAGTGATTGAGAAATTTAAAACTTAATTGAAAAAAAAACCACTAGAAAATGTACTGTCAGAAATAATCCTGCACTGGCAGATGGATGGACTAGATATAAAGGGCCAGATTTTCAAGCTATTTAGATGCCTTAAGTTGCGGATAGGTGCTTCTGAAAATCCCACTAGGGATGGAATTCACAAAGGTATCTGTGCACCTAACTCCCATTGAAATCAATGTCAGTTAGGTGCCTAAAAAACTTTGTAATCCACCCTCGGTGCTGAACCTGGTTAGGTGCCTAAATATCTTTGAACATTTGGCCCAAGTTCTTTTTCATTTCTAATTTCTATGATTCTTTACAATTCAGCTACATTGTTGCTGTCTAGAGCTTCTTAGGATTCAGTTCTGTCCTCTTATGTGAATAAAATTCCCACTGCCTTCCAGAGGAGTTACACCAGTGTAACAGAGGACGGAATTGGCCCAGTGGGGCCACGTTTTCAAGTGCTCAACACCCACAATTTGGATCAGATTTTTAAAACACCTCAGTTCTCATTTATGCACCTGAATAAGGTCCACTCTTTCCAAAGCGCTTAGTTCCCACCAGCTCCCATTCCGACATTTATGGTCATTTTCAAAATGAAAGTCAGGGCCCAGCAGTGGGTACTGAGCTCCCTTGAAAATCTGGCCCTATCTGTTTTATCTGAGGTTCAACCTGCTAACTCATGTAAAAACTACAAACTGCCTTGTCGGCACTCGGATTTTACCTTGAGTTAATTAATTCCAGTTAGCTAACTCAAGTTTTTTTGTGTGTGAAGACAAGGCCTAAGATAAACACAGAAGATTAAATACTCGTCTTATTGACATCAATGGGAGAACTTCCGCTGACTTCAAAAGGGCCAGGATTTCAGAGGAGAGAGAGATTCTTCATGCCTCTTGTTTTCCTGAGTCTTAATAACCATATATCCCCAGAACAGCTCCTTGAATCAAAATATATTTTCCAGAATCATACATCGTACAGATGGAAAGTCCTATTAGGTTTAGGGTGACCAGATGTCCCGATTTTATAGGGACAGTCCTGATATTTGGGGCTTTTTTTAATATGGGCTCCTATTACCCCACCCCCTCCCCACCCTCTGTCCCAATTTTTCACAGTTGCTGTCTGGTCACCCTAATTAGGTTACTTATTCATCCCCCTCACCAATGCTGGATTGTTCTCTAGCATGTTTGCTAGTGGTTTGAGCTGACTTTGCTTTGAAGAGGTTAATACTGTTCACTTTGGAACTAATTACTACAGGTGAGTTACCACTAGATATGTTTTTAATGCTACCACTTACAGCTACTTCAGTTGGAACTAAGTTGGAACTCAATTGTGTGGTAGTGTAATGGTGCAAGTCACCTGAGGTCATCCAGCTATTCCTAAGTGTGTAGTCACTGCAGCCAGTATATGGGTGGTATTTCTTAGAGGTTGCCTCATTCAATTGCTCCAGGATAGATATAGTTCTCTCAGAAGAAGTCAGAAATCTGTCTTCCCTTCAAAAAGTACCTGAGTGTCTCAGTGATTTTGACCTCTAAACAATCTACTACTCTGTCTACACTGGGGATTTGTCCCAGTTACAGCCATTGGTGTAACTGCACTGGGTCAGACCTCTTGTATAGGCAGGCAATGTTGCTATTTGCACCAGTGGTGCTAACCCCTGCTTGAAACCGAGGTAAGTTCCACTGGCGCAACTAGGTTTGACCCAGTGCTGGTCCCCAAGGGCTGTAACTGGGGCAAATCCCCAGTGCAGACAAAGCCTAAAGACTTAAGTTTTAAGCAAAAGCAAGATAGAAAATCTTAAAGTGATAGAAATGGTCTACAGATTATACTCAGTAAGAGTTTAACGAGGTAGGCATAATTACAATGAGCAACATCTTACATTTATGAAAAATGCATCCTCTAGTGTTGATGTCCCCATTCCCTCTGCCTTTCTTCCTGAGCAACCTCTGAGCAAGAACCCTCTCTCCTTCAGATAGTCTCTCCACCCTCACAGCCCTGTTGTAATTTTCAGTTTCTTTGAGGTTTTTGTGCTTATCACATCACCCTGTCAAGAACCAGAATAGAGCCAGTTTCTGGGCTACCTAACAAGTGTAGCTGCAGTAGGTGGCCTGACTGGCTTTGCCACCTGATCAGCTGTAAGGATCAGCTGACCGGCTCTTAAGCCTAGCCGCAATTCAGCGGCTGCTCCAAGCATCTGCCCACGGCTGTGGTAGCTTCTGTTTGTTCCCAGTCTTGCCTGACTTCAGCTCTGACCCTTGACTCCAATTCCTGCCTATTGACTCCTGCTCTGACCATTGGGCATGACCACCCATGTCCTGGTCAAATGCACCTGCTCAAAGTGGTGTACCAAGTATTTCTGCACACTGGGTATTACTGTCTGTCTCATGTCCATTGAATTTTTTTTCCAAAATCACTCGCTTTGTTTTTCCCATGTTGCTTTTAAAAGTTAGTCTGCCTAAAGGTGTATACAAATAATGACTGATGATTGTTATCAGGAGAAGATGTTTTCTGACCCTGAATGAATGTGCTAACCTTGAAAACAGGTTATTGTCTGCCTTACATCTGAGGTTACAGAGACAGGGCTCATAAAATTTTTATAATTTTTTCTACTCATTAAATTGATCCTATGTAAAATATGAATGATTAACATATTAATTCCAATCTACCACATTCTTCTTCCAAAAGTTATAGAAATCTTACTCTCCCTTCTCACAAGTGTTAACAAAAAGGGAGATAATTTTGTTTGGTCTTTTTTTATAACAACTATGGTTCATACCTCTATGGTACAGGAATGGGAGTCAGGAGATCTGGGTGTTACTCCCAGCTCTGCCATTGATTACCTGTATTACTTTGGCACATCAGTTAACCTATCAGTTCTGCAGACTGTAAAATGGGCATAGTTATAGTTGCTCATCTTTGTGAGGTACTTGGAGATCTCTGAATGAAAAATGCTATGTAACTGAGATCTTCAGAGAATGAAAACTGTTGATAGGTACCTCCCCAAGCTTTCCCACAGAGGCACTCAGGCATAAGAACATAGGAACTGCCATACCTGATCTAACAAGTAATCCATCTAATACAGTATCTCATCTCCAGCACTAGCCAGTACTAGATGCTTCAGAGGAAGATGAAAGAAATCCCTTAATAGACAATTATGGAGTAACTTGCCCAGTGGAGAAATTCTTACTAACTTACGTCCATTAGTGGTTGGCTTATACCCTGAATCATGAGGGCATTTAAATTTTGTACACACTTTTATCCAGTATAACGTAGTTGTGGATGTTCTAATTTTTCATAGAAATGTCTAATCCTTTCTTGAATCTTATTAAATTCTTACTTTTCAACTAGCAATGAGCTCCTCAGGTTAATTATGTGATTGCGATTTGATTACATTTATTTTGTGCAAACCGAACAGATTCCAAACAAGTAATATATATACTTACTGTTTTAAAAGGACCAATTTTGCACACTGAAAATTTAAATAAAAATTTAAAAATAAATCTTGAAATTACCCATCAAAATTAAAAAAAAAATCAAATTCTGCCAAGTCTATATATACTTATATAAAAACAAATAGAAAAGAGAGTAAGTTGATAGCAGTGAATATAAATTAGAAGTTAGGAATTATAGAAAATTGATAAGGGAAACAAAAGGACATAAGGAGAAATCTCTGGCCAGCAGAGTTAAGGAAAAGAAGGACTCTTCTAAAAAGTATACTAGGAACAAAGGAAATCCTACCAATGGTATTTGCCTATTACTAGCTTGAAATGGTAGAATTGTTGTTAATAATGCAGAAAAGGCACAAGTGCTGAATAGATACTTTTATTCTTGTTTGAGAAAAAGCCAGATGATTTATTCATATTATATGATGATGATCAATTACTTTCCATTCTAACAATAACTCAGGAGAATGTTAAACAGCGGCTACTGAAGTTAGCTACAGGTATTTTAAAATCAGTACATGCAGATAACTTGTATCCAAAAACTTTAAAAAGCTGGCTGAGGAGCTTTCTTTAATGTTAATTTTCAGTAAGTCTTAGAACACAAGAGAAGTTCCAGAGGACTAGAAGAAAGCTAATGTTACACTAATATTTAAACAGGTGTGACAGAGTGCTGAAATCTGACAAGGTGGGTCAGCACTCATCACTGTAGCCTCAGTTCTGCCAGTAATGCTGATTGGATAATTAGCTAATCAGAAGGTGAGGCTGAGGAGGTAAGGAGCTAATTAGCTCTTAGACGAACAACCTGATAAAAGATAGGAAGGAAGTGTTATGAGGGAGGATAGGGCTATCTGAGCCTAGAATGAAGGAGCTTCCAATGTAGAGTGAGACAGAGAGTGACTGATCTATTTTCCTTCTAGGGCCCTAGCAAAGAAGTGTTGAAAGAGGTAAAGATTAAAATGGTGATATTGCACTGTACTGAGTTAGTGTTTGGGTTTAGAATAAAATACAGCTAGCACACAAGGTGAAAGTGGGTCTGAGCAGTTCCTGGGGCATCAGAGAATCAGGAGAGAGCATCTCCCCATCACAACAAGGTAAGCAGGATGATCTCGGTAACTATAGGCTTGTAGCCTGCCATCATTTCCATGCAGATTAAGGGAATGGCCAAAACAGGACTTGATTGATGAGGAATTAAAGGAGAGTAATATAATTAATACCAATCAACATTGCTTTATAAAACTAGTCATCAAACAAACTTGATTTTTTTATAGGATTACAAATTTGGTTGCTAAAGATAATAGTGTTAAGATATTATACTCCTGTTCTGCATGGCATTTGACATAGTGCCACACAATTTTGATTAAGAATGATACAAAATCAAAATGGTCTTTAAAATGTAATTGTAGTGGGGTCCCTTAGAGATTGGATCTTAGCCCTATGCTCTTTAACATTTTTATCAATAACCTGGAAGAAAATAAAAAGAAAATCATTACTGCCAAAGCAAGAAGCTAAACCAAAGATTGGGGGAGTGCACTGATTTAGAGCCACCTGGATTGCTTGGTAAACTAGGTGCAAGCAAACAATATACATTTCAGTGTGGATAATTGTAAAGTCATACATATAGGAACAATAACTACAGGCCCTACTTAGAGGATGGGGGACTCTATCCGGAGAAGCAATGACTCTGAAAAGATTTTGGGATCATGATGGATAATCAGTTGAACATGCACTCACAGTGTGATGCTGTGGCCAAAAGTGCTAATGCAATCTTTGGCTGTCTAAACGTAGGAATATTGATTTGGAGTAGACAGGCTATATTATCTCTGTATTTGTTAGTGGTGTGACTGCTACTGGAATGCTGTTTCCAGTTCCGGTATCAAGAATTCAAGAAGGATGTTGATAAAATAGAGAGCATTCAGAGGATAGCCGCAAGAATGCTAAAGGATTGGAAAACATGCCTTATGGTCAATTTCTTCATCCTAGGATTTTAAAAATAATAAATTTCATGATTTCAGCTATTTAAATATGAAATATCATGGTGTTGTAATTGTAGGGGTCTTGACCCAAAAAGGAGTTGTGGGGGGTTGCAAGGTTACTGTGGGGGCGGGAGGAGTGGGGGTTGTGATACTGCTACCCTTACTTCTGTGCTGCTGGTGGCGGTGCTGCCTTCAGAGCTGGGCAGCTGAGAGCAGCAGCTGTAGGCCGGAAGGCCTGTTCTGAAGGCAGAGCTGCCACCAGCAGCAGTGCAGAAGTAAGGATGGTATAGTATGGTATTGCCACCCTTACTTCTGCACTGCTGGCTTCAGAGCTGGGCACTCAGCAGCTGCCTGTCTCCAGCTGCCCAGCTCTGAAGGCCTTAGCGCAGAAGTAAGGGTAGCGGTGGAGGGTGAAAATAGTTGGGGGAAAGCAAGAGAGAATGGCTAACAGTAATATATTTTGCTATAGACTAACTATAGACTTGTGGATACAGTTTGTTTGGTTGGGTTTTTTGTAATTGTTAAGAGACAAAAAAGCAGATCAGTAGTAGTAACCTATAGAGTATAACACAGTCCTAGAAGTCTTTTGCTCTCAAGGTTGAATCTTTTGTCAGGATTGTATTGACAATACTTTAAGCATGCTAGAATGATGAGCAGTAATTTTTGGGATCCTTGTTTAAACATGTAATGAATTTTTTTTTTTTAAGGGTGAAGCAGAAGTTAAAATTGAAGAACTTAACTTTGAACGCTGCACTATATTTAAACCTGCGTAAGTGATTGATAGTTTCCACTCACACTTCAACAATTTATCACCTCTTCTTAATCTCTCTCTCTATTTTTTTTTTTAAAAGATTGATTTTATGTGACCGAGAAGAGTCCCGTCCATTGGAATGGTGTGCTAGAAAAATTCTGGGTTGCCTCTCTCATGTGATGTCTATTACTGCACTTTCTGTGCCCATTTCAACGTTAGCAAGAGCTATGGTGAATAATGCAGTAATACCGAGTGACAAGAAGGTGGAGCTGTTAGAGAACAAGGATATCCACGTGATTGGAAACCAAGATGAAACAAAGACCAGCTAAATGGTGTGATGTTAACAGATATTGTGCACTTCTGCCCCTCCCTAACAGCATCACCAATTCCTATTTCAGGATCCTATTCCTATTTACAATGCAGTAAAATTTTGTTAAACATTTGTGGTTTCTTCCTCCTGCCCCAGGATTATGAAATAATAATCCATTACATTGTAAATTGTGCTGTACCATGCAAATCCTTTTATAAGGATTATGAGATTGTAACGATAGGAGTTGTTTTTTCAAGATGTGTTGAATGAAAATGATACTTTTGCTGCAGAATTTTTTAATATGATTTTCATCCAGCCTATTACATGCATCGATCCAAATGAACAGGTGCCTTACATTTATTAAATAGTATTTTAATACATGTAATAAGAAAGAGGTTTCAGTTACAAGACTGTGTGGCACATTCAGTCAGTTATTCTCAGAACTGAACATTAGCAAAGGGTGTGCAATGGAGCAAAGACTATGCAATCAGTGACCCTTTACCCCTTCACTGGGAGAGAATTTCAGTATAACACAAAGAAGCTGCTGTTACTAGTTTTGCTGCTGTCAGCCAGGGACTGTTTGGAGAATGGTTGCTGTCGAATTTGTGCCTGTGATTATGTTGACTAAGTGTAGAGGGGAAAAATAATTTATCTAATGATTTTAAGTCATTTCTGTTTATTGCAACTAAGCCTTGCTGCATAAAGTTGGAACCATTTGGCTTGCAAAGGGTTCTTGTGTAGATTAATTAAACAAGAAAATATATATGTTTGCAAAGGGTTCATACTGTTTCCTAGTCTTAGGGATTCCTTATTATACATTATATAGGAGAAATCCTATGGAAAAAATCTTTATCAGTATCAATGGTTGATTTTGATAAACAATGTTTGAAGAGTCACTAGTAATGATATACTGCAATTTTTATAATCAGAGATGGGTCTAAAGGAGACCTTATAAAATAATCTACACCTTCAAACTTCACTGAGGTTGTGCTTTTGATGTTAAATTAAAATTTCTACAGTCAGACATATGGTTTGGTACTGGGTCAGATGTAAAATTTAAGAGGCCAGTGTTCTGGTTTCAATGTCACAAAATCCTTTGACTTCTTTGCAGGTGATTTTTTTGCCAAGGTAGTAGAAGTTTAGAGTGACTTCTGTGATTCTGGAGTTGAGTAATTTGAACCAAAAGCCTACGCAGAATCTAATCTACATCCAAACACTGTAGATTTTTTTTTAATCTATCCATTTAAAAACTGTTCTTAGTCACTGCTATTGTATTTAAGCCCCTTCTTTGCTTAAACTAGGCGTAGGAAAGAGGAGAAGAAGAAAGCTAGGTTTTGGAGGAGATACTAAAATTCCCTAGGCCAGATTCTGTTCTCAGTTACACCCCTGTAGATCTAGAATTACACCACTGAAAGCAGTGGAGTTACTCTGAATTTACTGTGCTGTAACTGAGATCAGTATCTGACTTGGTCCCAATGTGCTAATGATTAGAATTTGGGCTAATAGCCCAAATACTTGAATCACAAAAAGTAATGCTGGTGTTCCCTCTGGTGGTTGTACAATGGCAAATAACTAATAAGCACTGTCCAAAGGGCACTTGACATCTATAATTATGTTGATAACAGTAATCACCCAACATCTTTGCTATTGCAAATGATTGTTTCTGAAACAAACATGATCCATTCTAGTTTCATTTGAAAGGTAAGATGGGAGTTGCAGAGAAGAGAAACCATGTTTGTCAGTGGAATGCAAATAGGGGAAAGCACAGACTTAGCAGAAAGGAATGTGCTTTGACCTTCTCAGAAGGTACTACAACTACTCCAGCTATACAAGAATTAAAGGAGATTAAAAGGAAATACATGACAGTATCTTTCTATATGAAAACCAAAGTCCCAAACCTGCATTACTTTATGTTGGGTTTGAATCGGTTTGTCACACCAAAAAATCAGTATGCATCCCTCTGGAGCTGTGCCAGTTTGTTAACCAGGTTACAGTGCTTAGCTGACATTACCAGTGCCAGAAGGGTGCACAGCATGTGCTTATTGTTGCAAATAGGAGGTGTCACAGTCAAATAGAGTAGCTGAATTTAAAGGGAAGGCCAGATAATTTCATGGACCATATTAATATTTGTAACTATGCAAATTTAAATGGAGCAATCAACTCCGGTGCTTGAGGGCATAAACTGATCACTGCAGGGGGCAGGAAAGAGTCCAGTTCCTCCACCTTTCCTCTCTGTGCTTCATTGCACAATTGGTGCTTGATCCAATTCCCATTCAAGTCAATGGAAAGGCTTCAGTTAGCTTCACTGGGAGATGGATTGAGTTTCAGTCAGGCAGAGGGTCAATCTGAATAGTATACTTGATAGGCTGTGTCATACCAGGTCAGACCAATGGCCAATCTTCTTTGATGGTGGTCCTCATACTTTATATTCATCAGTATTTCATATTGCAAATTAAAATAATTTTGAAAGCTATTGTACCTTTTGAATGAAAATTAAGGAGCTTTGTTACAATAAATAGTAAAAAGCTGGTGCCAAACTTTGAACAAGTTGATTTTTCTGCCTTTTTAGATATTTCTTTAACTAGTCACAATGACACTCATCTTTGATAAGAAAGGGTGAATCACTTTGCTTTAATTTCCTTTAAGAAATAATTTAAATCCAAAAATGGTAACTAGCATTATGTTAAGTGCCTGATTTTATTATTCTCTCTAAGTTCTTAGCAATAAGATAAGTAGTAATAATTATAACATATAATTATAGACCCTGAGCTTGTGTAAACTGGAGTAGTTCCATTGACTTCAATGATGCTATATTGAGTTACATCAGCTGAGGGCTTGGTCCTTTATCTGCCTCTTTCTCTGTCACAGATGTACATACATATGTACTTGATGCCATAAATTTACACCATGCTTTTCAAACATATAGTAAGATGCAATACGTGTCCCAAGTAGTTTACAATCCACATGTGAGATATATATATAGTCAACTGAGGTAAGGATTGTTTGCAAAGCACCATGTACATGTATATATCAGTATTTGAGTACAGTTTGTATGGACTTGAGATGGGCACTGCAGATGTCAAGGAGGTCAGAGGAGCTATCTGGAATCAAGACAAGAATCAAGTAAAGAAAAATCTATAGCTAGGCAGAGCAGTCCATCATAGAGTGGCAAAATATGGCAAATAACAAACAAGATGTTAATAGATAATGGCAATTTCAGCAATCACTTATGATTCTTAATCTCCTGCATTATTTTTTTTTTTTTTGCATTTATTTCCCAGTCACACGTTTACTTATACCATGTTCCCTGTCCCTTGTACTACTGTAAAAAATAATGGCGTGCAACTCTTATGCAACAAAAAGGCAAAGAACTGTGTGGCCATTGATGTATATTACAGACTAGTAAATATACTTGATTCCATTATTAATATTTTTGTTACTACTGACTCAAAGTCTTAAAAAGAGGCTATGTAAAGTAATGTTTTATACCTATTAACAGACACTGAATATTGTAAAATCAATGAATTAAATTGTATTGTTTAATAATTAGTACTAAAGTCCTGTGCCTAAACATGTTTTCTGCTTATCAAATATTTGTTAAAATATATTTGAAGTGTTTCTAAAAATAACAGCTGCTCCATATTTTTTTAATGTTAGAAAATGTAAGATGCACTCTCTCTTTCTTGATTTTTGTTTTGTTTTAAATGGAAGCCGGTCCTAAATTAGGATATGTATTATTTTTCTTAAACAAATTTTGCTATTGCTGGTTTGGCTCGTATAGTGTACTTGTTTTTCCTCTCATTCCCCACAAGGTGGACTCATCAGCTTTCTGGGCCCGGTAAACATACAGATGAAAACATTTAGTAATAGCATGAATTGTACAGTATGTGGTGTTTTTAAAGTAAATAGTATTGCTACCTGCAAAAGCTCAAAAATCATGAATAAGTCACCTCCCCTCCTCAAATAATGAGGTTTAATTAAAAAGATGTGATGTTTTTTAATCTGTCTTCTGATTTTTGGACTCCTGCAGCACGTGGGTGTGAGCGAGAGAATGAATATAGTGTTGCTAACCCTCCCAGATCTATTAAGTAAGGGAATTTTTGGCCCTGGTTTCAGGAGCTCTCACTGAGATCGAATTATAAAGAGCTGTATAAAATGCTCCATGGTAGTGTGCAGCTTCCCTTTTTCCTGAAACCCCAAAATTTTAATTATTTGCCCCCCAGTTCTACATTTGCTGTCCCCCTAGTCCATGAATTATGCAACCTCCTAGCCCCACATCTACTCCTTGCCCCTCAGCACAGATGCCAGCTTCTAGTTGTGCTGGGGGATGCTCAACCCCAGGTCCTGCCCCCACTCCACCCCTTCCCCCAATGCCCCACCCCTATCCTGCCTCTTCCTGCCCCAGCTCTGCTCTTATCCTGTCTCTTTTTGCCCCCTCCCCCGAGCATGCCCCATCCCCACTTCTCCCCCTTCCTTCCACTTCCTCCTGCACTCTGCAGAGATGCTGATCGCAGCAGGTGGGAGGGAGGAGGAGGAGTTGATTAGTGGAGCCACTGGCAGGCAGGAGGCACTGGGGGCAGGGGAAGAGGGGAGCTTGGCTGCTGGTGGGTGCTAAGCACCTGCAATTTTTTTTTCTGTGCGTACTCCAGTCCTGGAACACTCATGGAGTTGGTACCTATGCCCCTCAGTGCATCTCTGCAGCTCCCGGGGTTCTTCACCTCCTTCTCCCAGGCCTGGGAAGAAGCTCTAAGGGTTGTTTAGCTTAGTGGGGCAGCTTGTGACATTGAGGTTCCTTGGCAAAGGGTCTCCCTGTTCAAAGGCGATGTGTAGGGGGGGTGCACATGGGGTCACATGTCTCCCCCCCATATTTCTGCCAGGGGTTGCCAGCCCTGCTCAGTCACATGGTGTGACTGGCCCCTCTCCCTGCTTTGCAGCTGTCAGACCCAGTGAGCTCCAAGCTGCTTTGCAGCTGTCAGACCCAGTGAGCTCCCCAGTGAGCTCCCATGGGGAGAGGCAGGAGCAACAGCTGGGAGCTGCAGGGAGGGGCTCTGCTTTCCAGGAGGGGAAACTGAAGGTAAGGGGGGGTCCTACCTGAGGGGTGTGTGTGACTTGAACTGTTCCAGAGACAGCTGAACCTTTAAATTGTGTCTCCACCCCCTCACTAATAGCAGTGGTCTCTGCCTGTTCTTTGGAAACAATTCGCATGTCTGACCAAACATGTCTTGCAGAATATATAGCCATAAAGAATAACCTGAGATATCTATAGAAAACTTGTAACTGGTCAAGATTCATAATCATTGCAAGATGTATGCACAGGTAATAGTTAAGGAATAATGTATTTATATTGAAAGCATGGTTTATGGACTTGGAATAAAAGTTAATCACCAGTGGACATTATGTCTCTGATAGCCCATTTGAACAGGAGGGAGTTGTCACCCCATGCTGCTTAACAAGTGATGTAATCAAGACTAAATTGTCTAGCCTTGCTCCATCCCAAAACTTTTAATGGAAAACCATCAGAGTCCACTGCAAAAAATCAAAATCACTTAAAGGTAAAAAAAGGAATATTACAACAGCCAGAGACTCACCCTGATGGGTTAAGCATAACACAGAGTGGGAAAAGGCACTCTGGATCCTTTAACTGAGGAGACATCTTGGGGAGCAGGGATGGTCTCATGAAAAATTAGGGTTACCATATTTAAAAAATAAAAAAAGAGGACATGCCCCTTTCCCTTCCCCACCCCTTTCCCAAAGTCCCCGCCCTAACTCCCCCACCTCCCTCCCAGCCACATGAAAAGGGCTGCCCAAGCGCTACCGGCTTCACGGTTTGCCAGGCAGCCCCCAGACCCTGCGCCCCTGGCCGGTGCTTCCCCAGCGCAGCTGGAGCCCGGGAGGGGAAGCGCCCAGCCGGGGGCGCAGGATCTGGAGGCTGCCCGGCAAACCGTGAAGCCGGTAGCGCTCGGGCTTCGGGCAGCC